CATGCCTGTGTCTCAAGCAGTGCATCCTCAAAGCTGAACACTCAACAATCATGGGTGAATGATTCTGGGGAAATCTGGCTGAAGTGACTTGTCTGAAATCATCAGGGTGACCCTGGACTTCCCTGTTCCACGTGCCAGGGCCTTTGCATGCAGATGTTTTAGGCCTTATAATCACTCTCCTCTGCAGCTGAGGCAGCAGGATTTACACCAGAAGCCTGTGCTGCTATTTAGTCTGTTCCTCACTTTGGAAGTGCTTCAGCAATTTTGTAGCCTACAGACACACTTGGGAAAAATCTCAATGATGGCTTAAAAATGAAAGCAATTTCAGAAAGATTCAGTCATACTTGTGTAATAGCATAATCTCTTCTTAATGTCACACTGCTGTAGTCCTACAGTCATTCACATAAATGCTTAAATGAATGTTTTTCAAAGATATTTATGTTAACTTTGTTCTTTACCCACAGATAGAGTTATTTTTAACATTAATATCTCAGGGTAAGTGACTATGGTTGTTGCTCTGGTTCCTGCAAACATTAACACCACGTGGATCTTTACACACCCTGGTAATTACACTGACATTCCTGGAGCATATGGAAAGTTGTGTAATGTATATATTCAGGTTTTCCAAAGATAAAGATATAAGAGCTACCAAATTAATCTACCAAATTAATCTCTACTACTTTTAGCAAGCCTCACTAGACAGCACTGGAGTCACATCATATTTAACAGTGAGACCTAGAAACGTAATAGCTTAGCTTAAAAAAATAGTACCACTTCTGAGATTTATAAATTGACAGAAATGAAAATGGAGAGGAAAATTACCAGTAGTGTTTTGCTTTGCATCTCTCAGCAACATGGACTTTTGGTTTGGCATGGGCATTCAAATCCTTTTTACAGTATAACCTTTTCAGTACAGTATCACAAACACATACAGAGTAGAAAACAAAACATATTTTTCCAGAACTATAGAAAATTCCAAGGTTTAAACACAAATTGGTGGCATCTACTTTCTATCTTGCTCCAGAAGGACTCAGAAGTAAATGAAATTTGGGCTAAAGGTAAACTCAGTGCTTGATCAGAGAAAACACTGAAGAATTTTTAAGTCAGTGCTGCCTGTTCCCATTGATCAGTTTGTTTCTGAAAGAATGAAGTTAGAAAAAAAGGATTCAGAGGCAGACAGAGTCTGAGTACAGGCATGGAGGTTGGGTTGAGAGAGAAAGTGGAATAACTGGAACAGCTTATCTTAATGAGGAATAGAAAGGAAAAGGACACTGCATACAAATAAACCACAACAGCTCAGCAACTGAAAGATAACAAAGGTAAAAGTCAGGGGTTGGGGGAATTTTCTTTGATAAGATCTCACCAGAGGTAGAATTCTGAAAGAGATTAAAAATTTAAACAAGGAAAGAAGAACAGATGAATCTGTGCTTTTCTCTAGACTTCAGTATTAATCACCTGACCTGAAGAGCAAAAAGCTATCACTGGAAGCAGCTTCCCCTATAATTTTTCTTCCCTCTCCCTTCCTCCCTGTCTTATGGGAAGACAGCAGCTTTTTGACCACAGAGTAAGTGGGACAGTGACCCCAAGTCAGTTCAGGACCTCTAGGGCTGTTAATGCTTTTCCTCTTCATCCCTTCGTCAATTCATCCCAGCATATTGCAAATATCTCCCCTGAACTAACCCTTGCATCCTCCAGAGCATCCCAATTTTAATTTGGGAGCAGAAACAGATCTAGTACAGTGACCCAGTAGCTGAGAAAGTTTTCAATGCTCAGATTTCTGAGGCAGAGCTTCTGTAACTCACTTGTCAGAGGGAGAAGCCAGTGAACAGAAATGAAGCAGGCAGAGGGCAGCAACACGGAAAGGAAAGGGAGAGCTGAACGTCTTGTGCAGACGAACTCGACACATCCACATGTTAGGCAGTGTTATCACATTTTGTAGCACCAGTTCTTGGGCCAGAAACACACTTTTGTGAATTCCTTAATCTGCTCTCTGCCATTCCCAGTGAAGCTGGAGCACAAACACTAGCAGCATGTTACAGGACTGAGGTGTCTGAATGCCTGTTGTTTTTCCTGCCCCTGTGAAAACCTCCACATAGAGGACACTGTGTTGGCCTGGAGTGGGACACGGTCACACCCAGACACACTCCTACAATTAATATTCCATGAGAAGCTCTATATCAGAGACCCAAATGGTTTCAGAGTAGCAATATGAACACAGCCATTGACATGGAATATGCCATGGCAGTGGGCAGTTCCCATGGATTGTCCTTGGAGCTGGGGATGTTATTTTAGCCATTAGACAGCTTCACCTGCCACAACTGCTCTTACTCTTTTGCAGGGCTGATGTAAACATGACAGACAATTTCCTGTGGACTCCTCTGCATCATGCTTGCTCTAATGGACACCTGGATATTGCTGAGCTGCTGGTGAAGGCTGGAGCAGCAGTGGATGCCCTTGGAATAGGCAACACCACCCCACTGATGAGAGCCATCGAGGCCTGCAGGTTGGACATCGTCTACTTTTTAATCACTGCAGGTGCCAACATCCAAATTACAAACAGCAATGGTAAATATCAATGTCTCCAAAAAAGGCTGTTTCTGTATTAAAAACACTGAGTTCTTGGAACACTTTGTATGAGCATTCTGAATTTAGGATTGCTATCAGGATCAGGATGAAGGTAACGGGTTCAATTAGTTTTCTACAATGTGGAATCACTGTTGTAAATAGTCAGCTTTCCTGGGTTTTATGCATCTAGAAAATAAAGTAACATAATTAATTACACAATTAAGGAGGCTGCTGCTCTTCAGAAGATACATACAGAGTTATAAGTGGCTTTAATGAAAACATTCTATCTAATTATTATTATTATTCGAGGGAAAATTAGATTTCAGTTGTGGCCAGTGTATACTCTGCCACCCATTTAAGTGATTTATTTTTAGGCATAGACAGCTCTGGTTAAAAAAATTCCCTGCTGCTCTACATAAATATTACTCCCTGAAAAAACAAATCTGAACTGTTACTGAAATGTTGCCTCCTCACAGCAGATCCCTCATTCAGTGTCATTTCCCCTGTTTCCACAGCAATTTAAACAGTTAACATGCATCCCATTTGCAGCTCTTGCTCCAGCATAGGAAGAAACATTGCCCCACAATGAGACTTCCCTTGCCAAAATGCCTGCTAGGTGAAACCCTGCCAGTAGAAGGGAAGTATATTCCTTATTTCTTGTGCCATGTGGAGTTCTGAGTCACACAGCAGTTCACTCTCACAGTGATTTACAGCCACAGAATCTCACAGATCCAGGAGAGGCTTTTTTTCCCTTTATTAAGCACTGAAGGTGTTCAGTGCCATTTATACCATGGGGCTTTCCCTTGCCAGGTCCAGGAAGAAGGAGATAGCTACAATAACTTGGTCTGCATTCCTATCCTTGTACTGTGCCAGCCATTTCCTAGTGCTAAATGATCTCAGAGATCAAAATGACAACTTGCAGGACCAGTATGTTAAGCTGCAAATGTCAGGACATTATGAACAAAGCAACCACTCCAAGAATTCCTGCAATATTGGGTTTCAAGGCTCATTTCTGCAAGGTCTTACTTCTGCAAGTAATGCTGATGACTGCTGGCCCTCACACCAATGTCAGGCACGCTGCTGGCACATGGAATTAATAAAATAATTAATAAAATAGTAGCCAAATTAAATTCAGTTGACTCTACTGTCATTATAAAATTGCAATAACAAGTGCTAATGTTAATTTGCATGGTTTATACGGGTATTTATGTTTTTAAATACAGGAAAGAATGCTCTTGATATTGCCAAAGTATTTGACAATGCTAAAATAATTGACCTGCTCCAAAATCTTATGGATAATTTGGCAGAACCAGAAGAAGAAGCAAAGATGGCAAAAGGTGGGAAGCCAAAGTCATCAGAGAAAAAAGAGGTATGAGACATAGGAACAAAGGACTGATTTGCTAATAGTTAATAGAGTGCTTCTGTCTTTCTTTGCCATCCATATCTCTCTAAAGCTATAGTTCAGGCTACCTTGTTAAAGTATTTTCAGATGCCAGTACTTGTTCTTGTCAGTACTAGTACTTGTTCATCAATTAAAATTTTGTCTTGCTAATTATACAAAGTTCATGACTTCCCCAGACCCACATAAGAATTATTCCCCATAGCACTGACAGGACACAGAAAGATAGTTCCTGTTCTTTTTCCCTCCTCCTGAAGTTTATGATCATCCAGCTCTGTTGTGGTAAACACTGAACAACTGGTAACCATAATGTCTTAAAGGAAGCACCTTTTTCTTCTCAAGATAAGAGCAAGGCCCTTCAAATCGATAAAAAGGTCTTTTCATTCTGCTAATGGAATTCACTGAGGTGATATCAGGCTTTTTGACTTCTCATTTCAACTGTAGACCTGAGTCCTGTTTCTCAAATCCCTCACTGACATTTGCCTGTTGTATTTCTGGGTGCTTTTCCTGCACTCCCCAGGGATCCTCAAGTACCTCAGCACTGCCCTGGTTCCCAAGCTGAGCCTCCATGCCCACACCCTGGTTGTCTTATTGGGGATGGGACCTTCCTGATTTACCAGTGGTACTTGTTAGCCAGACCCAGGATATTATTTGGGCAGAAAATGCAATTGTATCTGCATGGCTGGACGTGTCCTTCAGCAGTCCTGCCCTGGACAATGCAATGAATATGTCCCAGTAGCTAAATGTTGGTTTACCCCTTTCAGAGTGTTTTGAATGCCAGGGACAGCACAGGACTTTCACAGGCTGGAGGAAGACCCTAGGGGCTTGTTTATTTATCACCTGGCAGAGGATGGAGTCACCAGCAGTAGGAGACGACTGTCTTGTGTGTCATAAAGAGCAGCTAAGGGTTTAGTGCCCAAGGAGGAGAAGAATCCTTTACCTTTCAGAAGGTTTGCTCTTGCAATTTTTGGTTTTAAAAAATAATATCAGCTTTAAGAGAAACAGATTCTGAACGGATAAAGAAAAGTACACTCACAGTAAGGAGATTGCAGAAGAGCTTCAGAAGATGCAGGATGTGTGTCTGGCTTCTGAGCACGATGTGTTGGTATAGCTGATAACTTCTCTTCCAGTCTCCAGAGGTATCTCTGCCAGCTGTAGAAAAACCTGTTCCTGGACTGACACTGCGTTCCCGAAAGGCCAGTGCTCGGAAGCCTCTGGTAACAAAAGAGAGGAACAAAGATGACATCAGCTTCAAACCCAGAAAGGTAAGTACAGTAGCAAAACACGAGGGCAGTTTCACATTAATTTAAAGGTAGACCTCGCTGAGATCAAAATCCAGAACAATCCATGACTTCACAATGAAATGACTTCACAATTCAACTGTCTTAGAGATGATGTGCCACAGGCTGGGGAGGCGGCCACAAAACAAAGGTAAACTAAAGAGTTCATGGATACGTGTTATATAAATACACATGTATTTATATTAAACAAATTATTGTGGAAATCAAGCTCTTATCAGATTTTAAAACAGGGTTAAAGTGGACTCACAGTAAAATACAAATGAAACTACATTCGTGGTATGGATTTTCACACTCCTACTTTTAAAGGATAGGAGTCTGTGCATAGGACGAGCACAAAGTTCTTGATTAGTTATCACATTATCACAACTTGCCTTCTTGATTAGTTATCACATGAATTATGTCAGTGACAGTTACTGAACTGGATGGATCACAGTACTCTAAACACTTACTTCCTAGAGTCAGAATACTGGAAATATAACACCTCTGTCAGGATCTTGTTAATACTCACAAATAACTGAGAAAAAGATGATCGCAGAGAGGTTTGTTTTTAATATATTTTTTCTCCTTCAGAAGGAAAAGAAAACCATTTCTGGCTGAGGAGTTCTGTTTGGAGTTTGTTTATCATTTCCCTAACCCTGATTCGTGCTGGTTTCTGCCATGGTCTCAGGGGACTGAGGCTGCACTGCCTGTGACTCTACAGCTAATTACTATTTTTCACTCTGAGGATTGTGGGCCTGAGTCAGTAATTTTAAATAATTACCTTGAGATCTTTCCCACATTATCTGTAATGTGAGCCCATGGCATGTTATAGATTGGAAGTGACAAGAGAATGCCCTGTTTATTCATACACAAATTGTTGTCACATCTTCTGCTGGGAGGCCACACTGGTTCTCTTCTATGTCTCAGAGTGCAAAGGAATGCTAGAATATGGCTCAGTTTGGCTCACAGTACCTTCTTCGTGTTCCTGTTGCAGAATTCACATCTCAATTAACTACAAATATCTTTATTTTGTAGCTATGGAGCCCTGATGCTGCAACAATGGAGCTTGTAAGAAAGCAAGAATTCCTCCGTGAACGTGCTGCTATTTGTGGTCACTTAGAAGGCTTTACAACCCTCTTTAATAGAAAATTTAAGGATTAAGCCCACCAGCTGGAAGAACCTATTTCAGCATGTATTTTTAGGAGACAAAGATCTAAAAGGCTACTCCTCTGCAGGGAAGGAATCATGCAGTGCTCAGGAAATATGTCTCGGTTACGATAAAAGAAAATCATATCAAGTTTTTCCTCTACAGAATATGTTGCTTACACACAATTTTTTTGTTAAGGGCTTAGTCTGGTAAAAGATTTATCCTCATGTGATTCCAAGTCTTGGAGTTAGCTCAGCATACTCCATGGAATAGCTGCTGTTGTGACACACACGTGTCCTTCGTGAAGGTCTGGGTTATAAGGCTATTTTCTATCCCAGCGTAAAACTTCTTCCTGGAAGATACGTTACCCTTTTACTTTAAATATATAGGCATGAAGACATAATTCAGTAATTACCTAAGACAGGTATTTGGTTGTGTGCAGAGGCAACAGAAAGTTCAGCATTTACAACCAGGGCATGCAGTGCATGCAGTGATCCCTTTTTAACTCCAGCTGCACATGCACATGGGATATTTAGGAGATAACCAAGGCAAATGCAAAGCAAGGAGCCCTATCCAGAGAGATATTAGTTTCAAATGTCTCTACTGACCATATTATTTGTATGAATGTGGTCGTGCATGAGTAGTTTATGACAAGCTGTTAGACAGAGAAAATATCCTGCTATGTGTAGCATTGTAACAGTTCAGTATAAGGACTGAGATACCATTTCAAGTTTCAGCTCTCTTGGAACTCTTAATATCAGTGTATGATTTTTGTCTGTCAGCATAAAACTTCTGCTGGCTGCAGATGACTGTAAATAACAAAAATAGTAGCGCTTAAGTCGTAGAAGGCAGTGTGGGCAAGGAGCCCATGAACAACTGTAAATACAACAGCATCTCTGAAAGGAGAGTAAAAGGGGCAATTTGCTAAAGAGTAACCATCAAAATAAAGTCAAGCAGCACAGTCAGAAATTATAACTCATCCTGTAGGGTAGAATTGTATTTCTGGCAGAGTTCTGTCATGGGGATTAGCCAGGAGAGTTCAAAGCCTTCACATCTCTTCCTGGTTGTTAGTATGAAGTCAAGCAGCACACCATACCTTATGGGATCCTCCACTACCTATGTCAAGAAATGGTCATCAAAGCTTTCAGGGAACCTCCCGGACTGTCTGTGCTTTGCTGCGTTGTTTCTCCAGCAGCTCTCAGGGTAGTTAAACCCCCCCCCCCACAAGAACCAGGTCTTTTGGCTTTGAGGCTGCTTTGAGCTGCCTGTAGAGTCACAGAAATGTTAGGGAACCTCTGGAGATCATCCACTCCAACCCCCAAGGAGAGCTCACCTACTTCCTCCTCCTGGAGGCTGGGACTGTGACATCACAGTGGTGCTGGGGTTGGGGAGGCCATGCCCTGCGCTGGACACCAGTGGGACCAGGGAATAGGACGACCTGCTTGGCCTGGAAGACGCAAAGCCACCCACAGCTCCCCTCACCATCAGGGTGCCATGGGACAGTGTCACAGAGAGAGCAGTACTGCAGGCCCACAGCCCCAGAGCCAGGGGCAGCACTTGAGCAAGTGACACCCCAGCCACCTCCGGGGAGAGCAGGCTGGGGACAGGGGCACAGCAGGGCATCCTGGGGCTAGGCAGTGCAGCTGGGACGTGGGGGTGAAGCTCGGCAGGTCAGGGAATGCCATGTCAGGGGCCCCAAGCTCAGCGAGGGAGAGGCAGACAGGTCAGGATCTTCTCCCCCTCCCTGCCTGCCCAGTGGGGCCTGTGGGCTCCAGCGGGGCTCTCCTCACGGAGCAGGTGGCAGCTGCCACCACCGGCCACCACAATGGGCACCAGCGCTCGGTTGACGCTGCGCTGCTCAGGAAAGCCAAGCGCCGTGTGGAGAAGGCCATTAAGGTGAGGAGCCTGATTTCACCCCCCTCAAAACGCCATGCACTTGTATTTGGGCATTTCTGGCTCAGGAGAGCTGAGCTGGAGGGACCAGGGTGGGGCAGGCTGAGCTCTCTGGTCTCTGTACAGGAGAAGAAGATCTTCGCGGTGCGGGGCCCCTACCCCGTTATCCGCTCCCTGCTGCGGGCTCGGGGCTGGGTGGAGAGGAAGCTCCCCCGCGAGGGCGGACGGCTGAAGCAGCAGCTTGGCGGCCAAAAGAAACAGCAGCCGGAGACAGAGCCAAGTGATGATGGTGATGAGCAGGGGGAGGCAGTGCTGAACCCACGTGGTGGGGCACAGCCTTCCCTGGGGACCACAGAGCCCCTGCACTACCCATGGCCACGCAATGAGGAGGTGGAGGAAGAAAAGGAAGAGGAAGATGAAGATTATGAGGACTCCGATGAAATCCATGACCTCATGGTTAGCTGATAGGGCTGGGGCTGAGCTCTGCCTCAGCCCCCCACACCCTTCCCCTCGGAGCTCTAGGTGCAGGGCACAGCCTGGGACAAGGGACAAGAATGGGATGAGGGCTCCCTGTCCCACTCTGTCCCACTTCCCTCCCACAGTCCTACTTGGTGAGGGACCAGGTGCCAAACTTCCTGTGGACCATCCGCCTTAGCTCCATTGACCAGGAGCTGCTGCAGAGGATCGAGGTGGTGAACCGCTATCACTGGGTGCACGCCCTCAGCACCAAGGTGGGAGCCTGGAAGCCTTGGAGAGGGGCAACACAAGGAACGGGGGTGTCCAGCAAGGATTGACAACCTTCTCTAAACAGGAGGGGCTGTGCCTCAGCCTGCAAAACCTGCCCTGGTTCGAGCAAGCCGACCCCAACACCTTTTTCCCCCGGTGCTACCGGCTGGGGACCACGGAGGAGCGGGAAGCTTTCATTGGTGAGCTTGAGGCTGTTGCCGTCCTGCTCCCCCTCGTGCTCCCCGTGCCATGCAGGACTGGTTGGGGATGATGTCTCCCTCTTGCAGAGGATTTCCGCCTGACGGCAGCTCGCAGCCTGCTCAAACTGGCTCTGAAGAAGGCTGGAGACAGGCTGGTGGGGATGGAGCAGCCCCCAAAATCCAACAAGGGGCCAGGTTAGTGCATGGAGCTGGGTCAGGAAGATAACAAGGAGTTCTGGGCTAGGGATGTGTCTAGGGGCTGAGCTGCTCCTGGCTGTGGCTTGGGATCCCCTACATCCTCCTTATGGTTACAGCCCACATTATAGCCCACCTTATGGGTGTTCTGCCCCCTGCCCCATCCCCGTGTACCCATGGCCATCCCACAGGGAGGCTCTGTGCTTTGACCCCAAGGCTGGCAAAGGAGCCACATCTCTCACCCCGTGCCACCCACAGAAGGACCAGGGTCCTCCTTCTCCTCTCCCTCCCGGCTGGCAGAGGAGGCCCTGGAGGTCTGCGAGCAGCACCTGGGTGTCCTGGAGCACCAAGACATCGACAGGAAGACCCCGTCGCCCTGCAGGACGTGCATTGACTGGAACTGCTTCCTGCAGGATTACTACCGAGCAGCACAGTGAGTGCTGAGCGGGATGGGGGTCGTGGAGGGCACCATGGTGGGGCTGGTGCTGAGCCCCCCGCTGTCCCCACACAGTGAGGGGGCCGGGTTGGCGCTGAGCGGGGCGCAGCGGGAGCGGTGCCAGGACCTGCTGCGGCGCCTGGCGGAGCAGCTGCCGCAGTTCAGCGTAGAGGGCGATCTCAACATCTGGATCCTCAAGCCCAGCGCCAAATCCCGAGGCAGGGGTAAGGCTGGGGGAAGCATGGGGCATACACAGGCTCCCCGCTAAGGAGGGGCCTCACCACCGCTGTGTTCCTCAGGGATCGTCTGCGCGACGCGGCTGGAGGAGGTGCTGCAGCAGGCGCGGGGCTGCACGACCCCCTCGGCGCGGGTGTGCGAGTGGGTGGTGCAGAAGTACGTGGAGCGGCCGCTCACCATCTTCGGCACCAAATTCGACATCCGGCAGTGGTTCCTGGTGACTGATGGGAATCCCCTGACCGTCTGGTTCTACCAAGACTGCTACCTGCGCTTCTGCTCCCAGCCCTTCTCCCTGCGCCACCTGGAGCAGTGAGTGTCCCCCACCCCATCTCCCCACACGGCGGCACCCTGGCACCCACTGACCCAGCCCCGCTCTCCCCGCCCCAGTTCCAGGCACCTCTGCAACGTCTCCGTCCAGAAGCAGTACAAGGCGTCACCTCACCAGGACCCCCGCGTGCCCCCAAGCAGGGTCTGGTCCAGCCGGCAGTTCCAGGCATACCTGGCACGGCTGGGGCGGGCGGATGCTTGGCATCAGGTGATGGTGCCCGGCATGAAGGCAGCGATACTGAACTCTCTGCGCTGCGCCCAGGACCACATGAGCCTCCGCAAGGGCAGCTTTGAGCTCTTTGGGGCCGACTTTCTCGTGGGGGAGGACTGCCAGCCCTGGCTGCTGGAGATCAACTCCTGCCCCACCATGAGCCCCTCCTCGGCCGTGACCCGACGGCTCTGTGCCAACGTCCAGCGGGACACGCTGCGCCTCGTGCTCGACCGCAAGGACGACCCCAGCTGTCCCACTGGCGCCTTTGAGCTCATCTACAAGGAGGTAGGCTGGGGGGCTCGGGGGGCAGGCACCCCCCAGGCACCACAAGCCCCCGCTCCCTGCTCTGTCTCCCTGCAGGCAGCTGCGCCCCCGCGTCCGGCTGTGGGGATAAATCTGATGGTCGAAGGCTGTTCCCTGAAGAAACCCCGGCCAGCAAAGCGTCGATTACAGGAAAAGCCCCCCACCAGTACAGCCAGTGTCCCCCAGCTCCCCGTGTCCTCAGAGGGCAGAGCCACACAGGCGCCCCAGCTGAGAGTGCCACAGCGGAAGCTGCCTCCTCTGAGGCAACAGAGCAGCTGCTGCAAGCCCAGCTCTGGCCCTGCAGCACCGCCACAGCCCCTAGACTGTGCTGCTGGGAGCCAGGAGCTGCCATGGCTCCTTCACCTGGTTGTGCAGCCTCAGGAAGCTGAGCCCCAGAAAGCTGCTCAGCCCCAGGAAGCTCAGCCCCAGGCAGTTCTGCCCCCAGTCAGTTGCCATGCCCTGGATCGGGTGCCTGTGCCACCGCCCCAGGGAGCCCCCAGCAGCCCCTGGCAACCCCCGGACTGTTCTGCCGGGAGCCAGGGGCTGCCAGGGCTCAATCACCCGCTTGGGCAGCCCCAGGCAGCTCTGCCCCCAATCAGTAGCCATCCCCTGGATGGGGTGCTTCTGCCACCTCTCCGGGGAGCCCCGGGCTGCTCTGCCAGGAGCCAGGAGCTGCCGTGGCTCCTTCACCTGGTCGGGCAGCCCGAGGACGCTCAGCCCCAGGAAGCTCCGCCCCAGGCTGCTTGGCCCCAGGCAGCTCTGCCGCCCATCAGGGGCTGTCTCCTGGCTAAGGCGCCTGTGCCACCGCCCCGGGGAGCGCCCAGGAGCCCCTGGCGACCCCCGGGCTCTGCTCCCTCCTTCCGTCCTGCCAGACCACTGCATCCACCTCTGCTGGAACAGAGCATGTCAGCTCGCAACAGGACACAGAAGAACTGGGACACAGAGACATCCCCACGAGGGGACAGCCCCCTCCCCGCCCTTGCTGGGGAAACACTGCAGCACCCGGCTCCCTCCCACCCCAATGAGACCCCACTGCTGCGTCACGGGAACCGCCTCAACCCGCACACGGGCCTTAATACACTGCTGTGACAAGGAGCCTGGCGTAACCTTCTGTGTGCGGGAGGTGTGGGCATAGCTGGGACTGCCCGCGGGATGGGGGCGTGGGCAAGAACTGGGGCTGCCCGAACAGACAGGCAGGACCCTGTGGCTCCCCAGTGCTTGTACCCACCAGGCCTGTGCCTGCTCCTGCTCCCTGAGGCCTCTCTGGGCTGAGCAGTCGCGATTGTGGCATGATTTGTGTGTGATGGACACATGTCAGTTGTGTGATCAGCGTGTGCCAAGTGCACAATACATCAGCTACAGAAAAGCTCTTGTGTTTCTGGCAGAGTTCTGGTGTGGGGATTAGCTGGGAGAGCTCTCTGCTCTTAGAGCCAGTTCCTCAGCTCTCCTCGCTGCAAGTACCATGGAGTTCTCTGCACTTGGGAACTCCTGCTGCATTAAGGTACAGACCATTTTCTGCTGGCTATGTTCACCAGGGCAGCTGTGAGCAGGTGGAAGAGAACTGGAATGCACAGGGAACAGGCCAACTTGGGCAGCAGCATGGGCTGTCTCCTGCTTGGAAAACATTTTTGCATGACTAGTCAACTCATTCAGGTGCTCATTCAGTAGCCCAGAGGCAGAATTGGAGCAAACAGAGGGGCTTGTCTGGAGTCAAGAAGCATCTTTCAAGGCTGTCCTCAAGGGTGGCAGTGAGGATGTGTTTAGAGACTCTCCCTT